CTCACAGCACTATCGCTGCCGCAGCGCTTCCAGCACGGGGCCTGCACATCCACAGCCACACCACCACACTCACAAGACTTCCTCCATAATTGCCTGCCTGCACTGAACGGGACCCACCTCATGGCGACCTAAGCATATTAAATCAGTGCTACAGCCATCAGCAGCAAGGCTCCAGGGGCAGACTTGACTTAAGGTGTCCTGCAAGCCCAAAAATGTTTGGTTTGGCAATTCACTTTTGTCTTCAAACCTCTATTTTTAAAAGCCCAGTGGCCCCTTAGCTCTTTTTTTTTTTTTTTGTCAAAGAAGGAATGCTGCCTGCACCTCTGCAACTGCATCCCAGTTCTTCAGTGAAGTACTCCCCACCCTCTCCTCCAAGGCATATGTAGTTGCCTGTCTTTGCAAAAAACAAACTCTCCTCAGAGGCAGCATCCCAGGAGAATACCCTGCACTTGAATCAAAACAGGAAGGAAACAGATTTAAAATGTTCTCCAATTTACTTTGAAGTCTGACTGAGTATCTGAACGGTTTCTCATGGGGGCAGGTGCATAAGCACAAACACAAGCTCTTTACAGAAGTAGCAGCGTTTCACATATTTGGAAAAGAACATACAATTGCAATCAATATTTTCCACAAAGCAGGCATTTTGTTTTTGAAAGATTTGCTTTTAACACAGCCAGATGTGCAGGTCTATTATTAGCAAGAATTTGAGCAATGTTACATCAAAATGAAACAAGAGAGGAAAACCAAAACCAAGATACAATGATATGAACTTTCAAATGAAAGCAAATATATTTCCAGTATTTAAAAACTGCTTTAAACAGTCACATGTATTTCTCCTCTTTTAAATATATTCTCTTGGGAGGTTTTTGATTTTAAAATGTATGGGGTGGTCTTAATATTATGACAATACCATAGAATCAAAATCATTCAGATTGGAAAAGACCTCTGAGATCATCAAGCCCAACCAGCACTGCCAAGCCCACCACTAAACCACATCCCCAAGTGCCACATCTTTTAAATCCCTTCAGGGATGGTGACTCCACCACTGCCCTGGGCAGCCTGTTCCAGGGCTTGACAACCCTTTCTGTGATGAAATTTTTCCTAATATCCAGTCCAAACCTCTCGTGAGACAACTTGACATTTCCTCTTGTTTCCTCTTCCACTTCCTCTTCTTCTCACTTGTTACCTGGGAGAAGAAACTGCCCTCCACCTGGCTACAACCTCCTGTCAGGGAGCTGTAGAGAGTGAGAAGGTCACCCCTGAGCCTCCTTTTCTCTGAGATGAGCCCCCTTCAGGTCCCTCAGCTGCTCCTAATCAGACGTGCTCCAGACCCTTCCCCAGCTCCATTCCCTTCTCTGCACACGCTCCAGCACCTCAATGTCTTTCTTGTCATGAGGGGCCCAGAACTGAACCCAGGATTCAAGGTTAGGCCTCACCAATGCCAAGTACAGAGGGATGGTCACTGCCTTGGTCCTTATGGCCACACTATTTTTGATACAGGCCAGGATGCCCTTGGCCCTCTTGGCCGCCTGGGCACACTCTGGCTCAGGTTCAGCTGCTGTCGACCATCACCCCCACGTCCTTTTCTGCCAGGCACTTTTCAGCCATTCTGCCCCCAGGCTGTAGCACCACATGGGGTTGTTGTGACTCAGGTGCAGGATCTGGCACATGGCCTTGTTGAATCCCATACAATTGGCCTCGACTCATTGATCCAGCCTGTCCATATCCCTCTGCAGAGCCTTCCTGCCCTCCAGTAGATCAACACACCACCCAACTTGATGTTGTCTCCAACTTTCTGAGGGTGCACTTGATCCCCTCATCCAGATCATCAATAAAGACACTAAACAGGACTGGGCCCAGTCCTGAGCGCTGTGGGACACCACTTGTGACCAGCTGCCATCTGGTTGCAGTACCATCCACCACCACTCCCTGGGCCCAGCCAACCAGGGAGTTTTTTAGCCACCAAAGAGTGCACCTGTCCAAGCCATGAACTGACAGTTTCTCCAGGAGAAAGCTGTGAGAAATGGTGTCAAAGGCTTTACAGAAGCCCAGGTAGACAACATCCACAGCCTTTTCCTTATCCACCAGGTGAGTCGGCTCGCCATAGAAGGAGATCAGGTTAGTTAAGCATGGCCTGCCTGTCAGACCCACACTGGCTGTCCTGTACGTGCCATGTGATGGCACTCAAGGTGATTTGCTCCCTGACCTTCCCTGACACCGAGGTCAGACCGACAGGCCTGTAGTTTTCCAGATACTCCTTCCAGCCCTTCTTGTAGGTGGGCATCACATTTACTGACTTCCAGTCACCTGGGACCTCCTGGGTTAGCCAGAACTGCAGGTGAATGATGGAAAGTGGCTCAGTGAGCATTTCCACCAGCTCCCTCATCACCTTTGATGTAATCTCATCTGGCCCCATAGACTTGTGTGTGTCTGAGTGGTGTAGCAGGTTGCTGACTATTTCCCCTTGGATTATGGGGGCTTCATTCTGCTCCTCATCCCTGTCAGCCAGCTCAGGGGATGTGTACCCCGAGAACAACTGATCTTACTATTAAAGACTGAAATAAAGAAGGAATTAAGTACTTCAGCCTTTTCTTCAACATTTTTTACTATTTTTCCCCACACCCAAAGGATGGAGGATTGAGGATGGAGATTGACTTTAGCTCTCCTTTTTTTTTGCTGGTGTATTTATAGAAACGTTATTTACTGTCTTTTACAGCAGTAGCCAGATTAAGTTCTAATTGGGTTTTAGCCCCTCTAATTTTCCCCTTGCATAACCTCAAAACATCCTTGTAGTCCTCTTGAGTTTCCTGTCCCTACTTCCAAAGGTTTATCTCTCTTTTTATCCTGGAGTTCCAACCAAAGCCCTCTGTTCACCCAGGCCAGTCTTCTTCCCTTCTGGTTTGTCTCTCAGCACATGGGAACAGCCTGCTCCCAGGCCTTTAATTAAAATCATTAGAAGTGTATTCAAATCATCCACAGTTCTCTTTAGCACTGACCTGAACTGTGTCCAAGCCATACTCAATTCCAATTGAGCTGAAGCCACAGTTACTGGAAACCAAACTTCCCTCACTTTATCCTCGAGCCAACAGGAGCAATGAATTATTTAGCAATAAAAATCAGAGCAGACAGCTGTAACACATATCTCTGATCACCTTAAGTCATCACTGCCACCTCTTCTGGCAGCCCAGAATCACAGAGGAAGAGAGAGTCTCTGGCTTTTTTGCCCTTCTATGAGGAACAGCTCTGACACAAGAACAGAAGATAACACTACCTGAGCTATCAGGATGCCCCTGCTCCTCCCAAAGCTCCCCAGTCAAGAAAAACCCCCAGTTCTGCCGATGGTCCACTGCTCTGTGCAAGTACAGAAAAGACTGGCATCTGCTGAGGTGTATGTTGGATATAATCCTAAAAAGAACAATGCAGATTTTCCCACTTCAGTAAAAATCATAGTTTATATATCTAAGTGGACTTTAATACAAGTACACCAAGTCCAAGGAATGCCACCTTACTCATTTTAACGTTAGGCTTCCCTCCAGTCTTCTTTATTTCAGGTTATTGTTTATGAATCAAAACATTCAGTAATTTTCAAACAGATGAGGAATCAACTGATAGATGTGGATCCTTGCTTTGAGGATGTAACTCATGAAAGGACAGGTTCTGCTAGGTAACCGTGTACTATTACTCTGAACAAATCAGGTTAGTTCCTAATTCTCCTAAGGCCACATTGAAGCACCAAACAATTCCACATTGTGGAGAATTCATGACTCCACCCATCAGCCTGAGATGACCCTTTCTTGGGGACACAGCCTTGAAAGAAAATGATGAACAGTAAACACAAATGAACATCACTAAGTTATAAAAGGAAAAGAGGAACTGGACTCCCCATTAAGCCCAATCATTTTAATAAAAAGCTCAAGCCTAGAATTTTGTTCCTGAGAGCTTGTTCGTGAGATGCTATGTGCATGTCTTAAAGACTCATGTGATTATTTTCCCTAAACCTGGCAAAAGATACAGCAAAATCAACCTGGCAATCTCCAAGAAGTATCGAAGTTGTCATTTTTATAGTAAATCGGGAGGAGACTCTCAGGACCTCGGCTTACAGCAGCAATTCAGGTTTTAACTCACTGGTGCTGTGATCTGAAATATTAAGGGAAATACCTGGCCTCTGTGCAGCAGCACCACTGCCACATCCAAGAGCTCAGCCAAGGTGGGTCAACGACACCATCAGTCAAAACAACAATCAATCAATCAATCAGTCCAAAATCGGCATGCAATCATCCCTAAAGTCATTTGTATTATAGCATGGTCAGAAACCCCAACAATTCCGAGGCTCCTAGACCCAGACAAGTCTCCCATGGTTACAAGAACACTTGTTCTCCATTAATATCTCAGAAGTAGGCTTTCCTATTCCTTTATTCTCCCTGAAATCCATGTGCATGTGCACCCATCCTTTCCGCGTGGAGCACACGAGCAACACACCGCGCCACCATCCCCTGGGAGACCCGCCGGCGGCGGGGTCGAGGGGGCACCGCCCGCCGCCGGCCCGGGGGAGGACAGGGACCCTCGAACCTCCTTTTGCCACCGGAGAGTCCCCGCCGGTCCCAGGGGTCAGGCCACTGGAGCGGGGCCCGGTTTCCCCCACTGTCCCCCGCGGCGCTCAGCACCCCTCTCCCTGCAGCATCCCGCTCCCTTCAGCACCCCTCTCCCTGCAGCATCCCGCTCCCTTCAGCATCCCGCTTCTTTCAGCATCCCGCTTCTTTCAGCATCCTTCTCCCCTCAGCATCCTTCTCCCCTCAGCATCCCGCTTCCCTCAGCATCCCTCTCCCCTCAGCATCCCTCTCCCCTCAGCATCCCGCTTCCCTCAGCATCCCTCTCCCCTCAGCATCCCTCTCCCCTCAGCATCCCTCTCCCCTCAGGATCCCGGTCCAGCGCGGGGCGCGGCCGGTGGCAGGTGTCCGAGCCTCCCTTCCCCGGGGATGCCGCCCCCGCCCCGCACTCACCGTCCGTGGCCATGGCCGCGGCCCGGCCTCCCTCGCTCGCTGCCCGGGGCGGCGGCGGAGCGGGCGGGGGGGCGGCCCGGGCCCCGCCGGCAGCGCGGAGGGTGCGCGCCGGCCCCGCACGGCGCATCCGCGCCCGGCGCGGGCAGCGGGGGGAGCGGGCGCGGCCGCGGGGGTCCCGCGGGGCTGCGGGAGGGAGCGGCGCTGCCTCTCCCCGGGGCATTCCTGCGACGTTTCACACCCCCACCTCCCCAAATCTGACTTGGGAGGGGTAAGAGCTTCGCCACGCTCGTCCAAAATCTTGCGCCGTCTCCTTTCACGAGGCGCCGGGACCTTACTGCCCTGCAGGTAGCAACCGCAACCTCGCTGGGATGGGCACTGACAACTCTCAGCCCTCTGCCAGGAACTCACCTGCTCGGCGGGCTGCATGGAGCCCGTCTCTCGGATTTAATTGCCACCTCACTTTTCAACAGCCATGCAAAACTCATTTCTAAAGATGCTTCTCCCCATCCCCAGTAACCCTTAGTTGGGTTATGGCCAGCCCTTACATCCTCCACTATTGTCCATATCCAGGTTTACATTTCTATGGCTAAAGAAGCAGCAGTTTGGTCTCTGTTACAGAAAGCTCAAGCTGTAGCAGGATAACGTTTCTTTGCATGTTTCTACTGCAGTCAAACTGTGGTGCAGCATAAAGACTGACCCAAGGGCTATGAAGATGGTGAAGGGCCTTGAGGGGAGTCCATATGAGGAGCAGCTGAGGTTACTTGGTCTGTTCAGTCTGGAGGAGACTGAGGGGAGACCTCATTGCAGTTACAACTTCCTCGTGAGGGGAAGAGGAGGGGCAGGCATTGATCTCTTCTCTGTGGTGACCAGTGACAGGACCCAAGGGAATGGCCTGAAGTTGTCAGGGGAGGTTTAGGTTGGATATTAGAAAAGGTTCTTCACCCAGAGGGTGGTTGGGTATTGGAACAGGCTTCCCAGGGAAGTGGTCACAGCACCAAGGCTTACAGAGTTGCAGGAGCATTTGGGCAACGCTCTCAGGCACATGGTGGGATTCTTGGGGTTGTCCTGTGCCAGGAGTTGGACCTCAATGATCCTTGTGGGTCGCTTCCAACTCAGGATATTCTATGATTTTAAGTCCTAAGTGCTAGGAGCAAGACAGAGCTTAACACATCTGTCAGCTTCTTGTAACTGCTGAAGTTCCTGCAGTCCCATTTCCAAGTGTTGGGCTGCATACAGATGGAGGAGGGAAGCATTCCATTACCTGGCTTAATCAGGTGCCCAGATTCGAGAATAAAGATGAAAAGGGGGTGAGGAAGCCACGCCCATGTAGCAAGCTTTGTAAAACGTGAATGGGCCACCTCAGAAGTAGAATGAATTTCAAAATGAAACATTCCAGAAAAGAAGGGATAAAATATCAGTGTCATTTGAAGAATTTGCTACCCATGTGTGTTGAGAATACAAACACTCAGCATAGGGACCTGTTATGTAAGACATGCAATATAATACTGAAATAAACCTTAAGGTTTCCTGTAGTCCTTTAGGATCAGGTCTGCCTCAGACAACCATGACCAATGTTTATCCCACATTGTTTTGAACTCCTAAATTGATTTTGCTGTTTGTTATAAGGCCAAATTGTTTACTTAACCGTGAAATTCTCTTATTAAGCAAATTCATAGTGGTGCAAATTGTACGTCTCTACCTCAGTGAACACGGAGAACAATTAATTAATCACCATTTGCATAAATGCATATTACAAAGCTCTAAAGACTGTTACCAGGAAGACTGGTACATTCACTCTCAAACCCTTTATTTTTCAGACTAAACTCTCTTGCAGTCTCCTTTCTTTTTGTTGCCTTTTTTTTAGGATTCTCCAGTTATTCTAGAGGTGATACCTACATCAACACCAAGCTATATACACCACAGATCTTCACTGTCTTCCATGGCATTTGGAATTTTTCACATCATCCCCATATTGCTAATCCACCTTCGGTTTGAGGGCTGGAAAAACATCCGGATTGAGCACAGCTGTTACAGGAGCATTCCCAAGTTTTGGTATTTGAATTTAATTTGCCCAAGTGCAGCCTTTTGTACTTACTTTGACTTAACTATACCTTGTTGATGTCTTAAATTAAAATAATAAAAATTATATTGTAAAATGACTCCCACTTAAACAGTTTCTTGGCGTTCAAGAAAAGACTGCAAGTGGCACTTAGTGCTCTGGTTTATTTGAGAAGGTGGTGATCAGTCAAAGGTTGTACTTGATGACCTCAGAGGTCTTTTTCAACCTAATTGATTCTGTGGTTCTGTAAACTCATGTCACCTGTAAGTGTTTTAGGTTTATTCTGCTTTTCATCCCCCACATTATACTTGTAAACACTGCACAGCACTGGCTCAAACCTCCCCTTAGAAGATCTTTCAGCTTTGAAAGCTAAAAGAAACGGTGATTACTATTGCGTGAATGTAGCTCTTCAGTCAGTTGTGTATCCACCTCAGAGGAGCTTCGATCAAAACATATTTAATTTATGAAAACTGCAACAACATCCAGATACACACTGTCATGTTGTCTGACTCCTATCCATCAGCACAACTGGAAGTTAGGCTGGTGTTACAGAGATGAAGTTTCCTTTCAGCCTTTAACTACTGTAGCAGCTGAGGCTACAACCAGGAAAGAATGTAGATACTAGAAAGTCTAATACCATTATTTGGAAGTCCAGAACTCCTGCTGTTGTGTTTCTTTTAATGACAGCTGCTTGCTTCAATGAAGCACTTTAGGAAGTCCCTCTCCTGTTTTTCAAAGCCTGTAATTGCCCATCAGAGTGCAGCAAGGGATTCTTTCATTTTTTTACTTTTTTCTTTTTTAAAGATTACACCAGCATTATGAAACTCTGCTCACAGCTGCCTCTTGAATTCTCAGGATTACTGTTTTGAAACATAACCATGCATATAGTCAGCAGTTCTAAGTTTATCCTTAATCATAACTTCCATTTTACATCTGTGCAATTTTATAAACAAATTACAGAACATTTGTTTTCATTATTACAATATTAAAATAACTGCTAGTTGAATGCACCCATCTTTGTGCCTAGTCAAGCCTTTGCATGCTTCCAATGCAGACCTGCAAATCATTTTCAGAGGTGTATGCAGGGAAGATTCATGTCACAGAATGTTAAAAATCCTGACAAATTCCACCCCCTTGCTCAGCTCTTGGGACAGTTCAAAGATATAAGAAGAGGCAAATAAGATGGTTATGAAAAAGTGCCACTGCAGGGAACAGTATTAAAAATACTCCTTCAACATGTTAAAATAAACTTACGCATAACACATGGAAAAATAATAACTCAGCTGAAAAGAGCCCGTCAAGAAAGTGAAAAGTAAGTTTCTGTAGCTGTGTTTAATTTTTAGGTTTATTGAGAAAGATAGCTGCAAGTTGGAGGGAAACAGAAAAGAGAAATCACTTTCAAGTTTCCATTCAAGGGATGAACCCAATGCCATGTAGCTGGAAGACCTAACTTAACCTCTGTGCCTAGAAACAGCAGAAGAGGATTGGTGGTGCTCTAAAGTTCATCCTTAAGCAACTTCCTAAGTGAAGAAACTCTTTAAGAAAGTAGGAATTTGAAGTGGTAGTCCCACTATCTGCTAGAAAGAACTCTCCTTCTTCATTACATCTACACTGCTGTCCATCAGTCCACACACCTGCCTCCAAAGCACCAGCTGGAGCTGACACACCTGACAAATGCAGTATTACCAACAGGATCCTAACTGACCCAAAAAAGTCTGACTAAGTTTCTCTTGAGAATCTCCTCATGTCTCTTGAACCTGCTCACCAAAAATTAGGAGCAGAAATGCATAGAGACTGTGGGTTTCTGCTGGTAAGAGAAAAGCACAAGTCAGAAAACCCAAGTAAAAACCAAACTGTTCAAACTTTCCAGAAATGATACCTCCAAAACCTTTTATATCTACAGAGGGGTCCTTTTAAGAAGATGACATGTTCTATCCACAGACTGAGCCTAACCACCTTAAGACCAGAAGAGCAGTGGAAGAGTGAACAGTACACCAGAAAAAAAGGGTAGAATGTAAGTGCATGTAAGATAAATGTAACTGTATTATTACCACTATAGGGATTTTTTTCTCTGTGTAGAAGTATTCTTTTCCTGTAACAATTAGATCTGGACTAATAATGACTTTGGGACTAGACTGTAAAGATTTTGGTTATTCAACTGAATATTCAATTGTTCAGTTTACAATACAGTAAGGTTTGACTTTATTACAAAGTGTTTTCTCTTTTTTCATTAACAAGGTCGAGTGCAACACTGGTACTTAATTAACAGCTTTTTCAGTGTTCAACCTGTTTGTCATTTAGGCCCATTCCTCCTTGCCAACCAGTGCATTTAATATGGACCCCTTTTATGGTAAAACCATTTATATTCCATTTAAATGTTTTTTCTTCTAGGCAACAGCAACTCAATTCCTTTGGCCTTTGAGAGTCACACTAGCAAACTAATTCATTCAGCTTAGGCTCCTTTTATATTCAAATTTTTTCAAATTTCTATTTTATGTTTTTTCTTGTAGAAAAAGACACCTCAACTCCTCTGGCCTTTCTTGATAGTAGAGGTGAAAAAATTCCACATTCTTCTTGAATTGTTGTGGTCAGATGGGGGTATTTAAGGTTGTAGCCTTTCAGGGCTGAGCGACACAAATTTTATTGCTTTTTATTGTTTACAGAAAATACTCTAGCTGATTATTCTGTTTGTTTGTTTTTTCTGCCATACTGTTGCCCAGCAATCATTTCCCCATCCTGTGCCTGTTCTCAGCACTGAGCTCCATGTTTATATCCACACCCACTTCTCCAACTCTCTCCCAATTCATAAAGATCATTTTGAACTCCAGTCCTGCCCTTGTACATCTTTGGGTCATCTGCAGAATCAATAAGCTCACTTTACATCTCTTCATTCAAATAGAGAACAATTCCAGATGATCTGCTGGAGACAGGGTACAACAAAAGGCTTGTCATCAAGTTCATTTCCACTTGTGTGGGATCAAACCATGATCAACAGTGAAGTTACACACT